TCCACTTGGTGTATTTCAGCTTCTGAGCAAACTCTCTTTTGTGTTGATGGTATTTATAATTCCATTTCAATATACATACAAATAAAAAATAGCAGTATATATATACAATCACATTACCTTAAAATCCAACACCCCTACTCAACCTAGTATACTCAAACCCGCAGTAAAGCATTCCTTAAATTGACTTTTAAAATTCTAGGGAGGATCCAGATTGTTGTGGGCAAGAGGCCGACTCTGTTATCTTCTTAGAGAGGGCTGTGAAGTGGTATATAAGTCTAAGTGCTATTGCTATTGTATAAACCTTAGTGATTGATTAAAACAAACTTGTAATTTTCTTGGAGGAAATTGAAAACGAGAGTGGTTAGTATAAAAGTGGCTCTATTTTCTAATAACTGGTAATACATGTAGTCCTCAACTTACAAAAGTTCATTTAATGACTCTCCAAAGTTACAACGGCACAGAGAAAATTGACAAAATTGACTGTTCCTTGGTCATGTGATCAAAATTCAGATGCTTGGCAACGGACTCATATATATGACGGTTGATTATCCTGGGATCATGTGATTCCCTTTTACGATCTTCTGACAATCAGAGTCAACTGGGAAGCCAGGTTCTCTTAACAACTGTGTTACTAACTTAACGACTGCAATGATTTACTTAACAACTGTGGCAAAAAAAATCATAAAGTGGGGCAAAACTCCCTTAACTGTTTCACTTAATAACAGAAATTTTGGGCTCACTTGTGAAGTCAAGGATACCTGTGTAAGATCTATTTCTAAAGTCTGCCCAGGCATTTCCTTTTGGGAGATTTTGCTCAAGCTATTAAAAAAAGGGGGAAAAACCATGGAAGGATAAAAGGGTAGATTTCTTTGTAAGACAAATAGATGTTCATGCAGGAATTTTCACAACCCAAAGCCTTATAATTGGGGGTGGAGACATGGACAGACTTAATTAGGGACAAACCAATTTTGTAACTAGGATGGTGCAATGCAGCAACTTCTTACAGAGAAATCCATGTGGCCTTATTTGTGACATGATTAAGTTGGACTGATAAATGTCCTCTTTACCTGCATGTTGTGATTCCAGTTTGTGAACAAGGTACAATTCAATGTAACTCAGAAGAAAAACTTCCAATAAGGGAAGTGGGAGCCCTTCCAACCAATCCCACCTACCAAGAATGTTGGACCACGGATCCTCTACAGACTCCCTGCCCATCCTGATCTCGACCAGCGTTCTTGCCTTTACTTTGAAATAGGGTGAAAAAAAGTTGTGGGTGACTAGAGGAAATTATAGATGCTGAAATATTATTTTTGTTCATGAATGCAGCTTTCCTAATTATTGAAGACAATGATAATATCAGGCTTGAACATATATAAACAAGTTTGCGTATGCATGTATGTATGTATGTATGTATGTATGTATGTATGTATGTATGTATGTATGTATG